TCTTGCAGTATATATATATTAATATATTTAAGTATAGCTGTCAATAAATTAAAAGAACATGATAGTGTCAGAAATATTCCTGACACAATAGGTTTAAAATAGCCGATTAGGTCCCTGTCCCACCTTATCTTGCCTCTTTGCTGAGATCATCATAGGAGAGCATTAGGATGCTATTGCGCATGAGCAGCAAAACGCTTCACTGCGCCCTCAGCATCGTCTGGGAATGTTCTGCATCTCCTTGCAGAGCGTGGAGACCTTTTCTCTGAAAGGGCACTGTTTACATTAGAAACTCTGCAGGGACAGGCACAGTTTGGGTAGAACAACTACATTAAACTACGTTAAAAAGAAAGGAGAAGAGGAGTCTGCGCTAAGTAACAAGAGTATAAGCTGCAACCCTAAAAGGGAATCCCTCAAAAACCCTTGATAAGATAACAGAAAATAGATAGGGTAAGGGCTGCGCTATTTTGCAGGAAATTATGTGTATGCCACAATAAATAAACAACAAGGAAAAGACCTAGAAAAATAATCTCTTGTTAAAATAAATAAAACAAAATCTGTCCAATATATGGAATGTTCAGTATAGATATCAAATAGTAAAATGTTCAATAAAATACATAAAACCGTCTCACTGGTATATGGATAAGATGTGTATACAATCCTCAGGAGTTGATCCGTCCGGGTTGTAGGTGATCCGTATATATGAAGATAAAAACATGACAAGCTTCCAATGGTATAATATTGTAACTAAAAGAATAAAATAAATAAAATGGAGGATGATACACTCACATTTGATGGAGATTTGGACCAGCTCTAGGATGAGGGGCACTTAGCGGTATAATCCCCACTAGGGGATATACTGTGGAAATGGGTCTGTCCGTCCGACTTGGAATCCGCAGTACTCCACAGGATATATAAAAAGTGCTCTCAGTTGGAAAGGTAAAAAGAAAATTTAAAATAAAATAAAATATACTCACAATGGTAGAGCAGAAGGTACTGCTCTATAGATACAGCACTGGTGGAATAATCCCCACCTATGGATTGTTTGAACAGGATACAGTAAAATGCCAGGAAAAATAAAGAAAAGTGTATATACAATAAAATAAGTGTAAGATTGGTCCTATAAAAAGGGTACCAAATAAAACTTTTTATTGTTAAAATACACAGTATAAAACCATTTAACGTGTTTCACCTATGAGGCTTTTACCATTTTTATCTAGGTCTTTTCCTTGTTGTTTATTTATTGTGGCATACACATAATTTCTTGCAAAATAGCGCAGCCCTTACCCCTATCTTTTTTCTATTAAACTACATTAACCTGTAGTTATTCTGTGATTATAATATAGTGTCCCTTTAAAGAAAAAGAAAATCCATCTATTTATTGTGTTACCAGAAACTAATTTTATTTTTTACAATAATTCTTCCTCCAATTATCAACATAGATGTCAACCAACAATTGAGTGACAGTAGAGAGCAGAAGAACCTTCCTACATTTGGTTTCTACTAAATTCCATTACAGCAACTAGAGTGCGTAGAATGTAATTTTCATGATGCTCTTCTAGCAAGTACACATGTTAGAGGAATATTAGGCATTAGTAACCCCCTTCTGATATCAGCACTGCAGGATATGGTGGTGTTATATAAGTAATTGTAATTGATGCCAATGCACTGGCAACAAAGCCAGCATGTCTTCATGCGGCTGCATTGTCCTACATGGAGAAGTATAACCAAGCAATACTGATGCTGCAACAGGGGGTGGAACATAGGAGGGGATGAAAATCTTCTCTCAGAGCATTGGTGCAGCAATGGAGTACATTTTAACATAACTCTTAAGGGGGAAAAATATTCAATTTAAGTTTATGATAAATACTTTATGAAAATCCTAAATTTTATGACAAAAAGGCTCAATATACAAGTTTAAAGCTTATGTATAATCACTTTAGAATTTTGGGATATTAGCTAAAAATAAAATCATGGTGTATTATCTATATCCTTTAGTATTCCCTCTAAATTACTTCCTAAACAAAAAGCTCCAGAGACCATAGCACTACA